TCCGCCGGGTCCTCTCTCCTGCCTCCCTCCCTCCCAGCCGGTGGCCGCATCTCCCTGTCTGTGGGCTGGTGAGGGAGATCTGTGATCTCCCCACCAGCCCATGGAGACACACAGCAGGGCCGGCGCTCGGGTAGCGCATTTGCCCGGTATGCCCGATGGCCAGTCCGGGCCTGTACATAAGACACAGACACAAGACACACATAGATACAAAGACACATACACACAACACATACAAAGACAAGACACACACAACACATACATACATACAAAGTCAAGGCACACATACACACACACAAGAGATACATACAAAGACACATACATACAAAGACACATACACAAACACACACATTATATTTAAGTCACCCTCCTGTTTCCTACCTTTAAGGTCCAGTGGTGGCTCAGGTGGATGGGAGTCAGAGTTCTCACTCTGACTCCCTGGTCTTCCTCCCGCACGGCTCTCAGTGTTAGCTGGGAGGAGTGACGTGCAGTTACTTCCTCCCAGCTCTGTTATGTAATCACAGGAGGGGGGACAAGAAGGACACAGGAGAGGGCTTAAGATGGTACCAGGGAGGTGGGCTAAAGAGGGCACAGGGAGGTGGGACAAAAAAAGGGCATAGGGAAGTGGTCTAAAGAAGACACAGGAGGGGGCTAAAGAGGACACAGAAGGGGGGCAAAAAGGACACAGGAGAGGGGGCTAAATAGGGCACAGAGGAGGGGGGACAAAAAATGGAACAGAGAAAGGAAGTTAAATAGAGCACATGAAGGGGACAAACAAGGGCACAAGCTGGGAAGGAGCTGAAGAGGCACTGGCAGGGGCGAAGGAGGGGAGGGGGAAAAGAAGGGCAAAGGAGGGTAGGAGGGATAATGAGGGCACAGGACAGGGACAAGAAAGACACAGGGAGGAGTTAAAGAGGGCACAGGGGAGAGAGGCTGAAGAGGGCACAGGAGGGGAGGGGGTCTAAACAGGGTACAGGATGGGAGGGGGGCTAAAGAGGGCAAATGAGGGGGACAAAAAATGGCACAGGATGGGGGGCAAAAAAGGCACAGAGGATGGGGGCTATACAGGGCAGAGGAGGGGAGGGGCAAAAAAATGGGCAGGGGCAAAATAAGTGCACATAAAGGGAAGTGAGCTGGAGAGGGCACAGTAGGCAAGGGCAAAAGAAGGGCACAGGAGGGGAGGAGGAAAGTACACACAGAGGGGCTGGGGGAAGAAAAAAAACACAAAGGGGCATAGGGGGACAATGAGGCACACAGAGGGGAAGGGAAAAATGAAACACACAAAGGGATTTGGGGAGAAAAATACACCTGCTGGGGTTAGAGAAAGGCTTGTCAGCCAGCTAAAGTTGCCAGTCATAGGCAGCCAGCTACAGCAGCCAGCTACAGCAGCCAGCAACAATAATTAAGGTGAAAAGAGCCACCTTGGGCTAGATATCAGATAGCTATGTTATATCACTATATTGTGAATGGGACCAGAGTGTTCGAGAGGGCCCATTAGACTCCTTTGTAGTCTCTAATAGGGCCATAAGGGGAATCTTTCTAACATATGGTACACAAATTTGTGCAATATATATTCTTGAAAACCTGAAAAAAATGTGGGTGTTTTTTACATACTAAATTGGGGAGATGTCCAAATACAGCATCCACCCCAGGTGCCAAATGCTCTAGGTATTCCTGACAGTCACCAGTATTCCTGACAGTCACCATTCTGAGCTTCTGCACACACAACAGAGTCGGACTCGGTTCTTCAACAATCAGCGTTCCTCACAAATTGTATGAGGATGTCAAGCGTCCTCTGATGCTTCTCATAGAGAAACACTGGAATTGATCTGATGACTGTGGCTCATGTGCTTCTTGTCCAATATGCTTGTCATGTAGAAGGGCTGTTCTAGCTACATTTATATTATTAATATGTAAGGTTCATATTATCAGTGCTATTTGTTCAGTGGAACTATCTGTGGGTTCCAGGGAGTGGGTCCTCGTAGCATCTTTCAAAAATCTAAGTAATATGGGGAGTTTAGTCTTCTTTGCTTTTCAAGATATGCAGTTCTACTAATTAGCATACTGCAAATTACTATTTTGTGTTACTGGGAATCTATCTGCAGTGTCATTGCTATGATTTTAATTCTTCAATTTTGGATACAAAAGATTTGTCATTCAATAACGGGTTGTTGAGACACTAAGTTCTCTATATTTGTAATGATCTCTAGTTATTATTAGCACCGGGCATGATCTGACCAAACAATATGACCCCCTGAACATTGGTATACCAAGTCCAATGAGGGTTCTAACAAAAGAAACAAGTCTACTCTGGAATATGACTTGTGGGCTGAAGATTAGTAAGTGTAACTACCTCTGAGAGGTGCAGTGTATTCCACACATCTTACAAACCAAATTTCATTAACAGTTTTGTCATTGATGATTCACATTGGTTTTTAAGTGCTGCTGATCTAGAGAAGACAGGGGACAGCTTTTCAATTGTAGGGTCTAGGACATGATTAATGTCTCTGCATAAGATGGTGAGCCCTTGTTGTATCAGTGTTAGCTTTGTTAATAGCTTATATTAAACAATTATCTGATGTTCATTAGGTGTATAAGCATTCACAAGTGTATGCATTACATTATTCAGGGGGCAAATTAAAATCATATAGTGGCCATTATGGTCTGCAATTTTCTTCAGTAGCTCAAATGTCACTGATTTGTGTATAAGTATAGAGACACCCTTGATTTGGATGAATGTGTGGAGTGATGTTGAATAGGATATTCTCTACCACCAAATCTGGGCATCTTATCTGGGTATCTTACTTTGTATAAAATTCATCTCTTGTATGCAAAGCACAACTGCTTTGGTTGCTTTAGCCTCCTTGAGGAACATGTGGCATTTATGGGGTATGTTGAGTCCCCGAACATTATGGGAGTATAATTTCATAATGTAGTGATATTGGTATTATCGATATACCTGTGCTGGCTGATTGTCTAAATGATATGATGCCAATTTAGCAGTTGCTTTGAGTGTGTTATACATTGTATGAGAGGTCTATCAAGGGAGCTGGTGTGTAGTGATTAGAACTAGACCAGCAGCATTTTATTATTTATTACTAATTTTCACTATTGTATGTTCTCATTTTCTCTTTTCCACTGTGCACCAACATTCGAATATCAATATACATCTGAAAGAAATGTTACCACTGCATGCTAATATATCTGGAGCTGGTTATAAGCTCCAATAAATGTGAGTGTAAAATTCATACTTTTCTGTTATGCATTTTCTTATTACTTAGAATTCTACACTATTGGTTTCTATTTCTGTATTTCCATGTGTATCTCTGAACCATCCAAGTACTACAATAAGCAACACCACCTGGACAAAAGAGAACATTTTGGATTGTGTCCTCTGGACTTTTTCTTTTACAATTTTCTACTGACATTAGGCGCATACTGTTTTTTTTTTTAATCTTGTGTTTTTTTTGTTATGTCTATTATTAGTTTCTATTAGTATGGAATGTAATTCAGAACAGAGAAGCTATGTAATGTTGATAATTCACAAAAAGTACAAGGGACTCATAATATTAAATGTATGCTTACTAATGCAAGGAGCATAGGCGTGCGCACGGGGTGTGCCGGGTGTGCCTGGGCACACCCTAATCCCGCGGCATGCCTATGTATATTGAGACCGGCAGGGGAGATCTCAGGATCTCCCCTGTCGGCTCATGCAGAGCTGGCGCTATCCGAGCGCCGGCTCTGCTCTCAGCCTCCCTCCCCACTGACCCACATGCAGGGAGGGAGGCAGGAGAGGACCCGGCGGAGCTATTGCCGGCAGCTCCGCCGGGTTCCTCTCGCGAGATATGAGCGTTGCCACGGCAACGCTCAAATCTCGCTAGAGTGAACTCTAGCCCCACAGGGGGCTAGAGTTCACTCTCCACTGGACCATCAGGGATCACAGCAGCAAGGATCCCCTCCTCCACTGGACCACCAGGGAAGGAAGCAGCAGCACGATCCCCCCTCCCTACAAAAGGTAAGAAGGGAGGGGGGAGAGCAATTAATGTACCCCCACCTCCACCCCCCACAATCACCCACCCACACACATACAACACACATACAGCACCCACACACATTCAGCACCCACAGACATACAGCACCCACAGACATACAGCACCCACACACATTCAGCACCCACAGACATACTCAGCACCCACACACATACAGCACCCACACACATACAGCACCCACACACATTCAGCACCCACAGACATACACAGCACCCACACACATTCAGCACCCACAGACATACACAGCACCCACAGACATACACAGCACCCACAGACATACACAGCACCCACACACACACAGCACCCACACACACACAGCACCCACACACATTCAGCACCCACATACCTTCAGCACCAACATACATTCAGCACCCACAGACATACACAGCCAGGGGCGGACTGAGAGCATTTGGGGCCCCCGGGCAAAATTAGATCCCAGGCCCTTTGAAGGCCAAATATATGTGCATTAAATAAATGTTAAATAAATAATACAGCATTCCTTTGGATGTGTATATTGTGAAGACCTGTGTATCAATGCATGTTTGTATTTGAGTCTGTGTGAATGCACTTGTGCATGTTGGGATGACTACATGTGCTTTTTTGTATATAGTGTCTGTGTGAATGCATATGTCACAGGTGACAGTGTGTGAGGGAGAAGGTGACAGGTGGAAGAGTGTGGGAGGTTGTGACAGGTGGCAGAGTGAGGGGGTACCTGGTGGCAGAGTGAGGGAGGGAGGGAGGGAGGGGTTGAGTGGTGGCAGAGTGAGGGGGAGACACAGTGAGTGGGGGTGACTAGTGACATAGGGAGGGAGAGGGGGTGACTAGTGACAGAGTTAGGGAATGGGTGACTAGTGGCAGAGTGAGGGAGGGAAAAGATGACTAGTGGCAGAGTGAGGGAGGGAAAAGATGACTAGTGGCAGAGTGAGGGAGGGAAGGGGTGACTGGTGACAGAGTGAGGGGATGACTGGTGACAGAGTGAGGGAGTGACTAGTAACAGAGGGAGGGAGTGACTAGTGACAGAGGGAGGGAGGGAGGGGATGACTGTCTAGTGACAGTCACCCCATCCCTCTCTCTGTCACTAGTCACTCCCTCCCTAACTCTGTCACTGTGTCACCCGCTCCCTCACTCTGTCACTAGTCACCCCCTCCCTCACTCTGTCACTAATCACCCCCTCTGTCCCTAGTCACCCCCTTCCACACTCTGTCATTAGTCACCCCATCCCTCTCTCTGTCACTAGTCACTCCCTCCCTAACTCTGTCACTGCGAAGGAAGGAAGGGGTGACTGGTGATAGAGTGAGGGGATGACTGGTGACAGAGTGAGGGAAGGGATGACTAGTGGCAGAGTGAGGGAAGGAAGGGATGACTGGTGACAGAGTGAGGGAATGACTGGTGACTAGTGACCGAGTGAGGGAGGGAGTGGGTGACTAGTGACAGAGTGAGGAAGGGGGTGACACAGTGATAGTCACCCCATTCCTCCCTCTGTCACTAATCACCACCTCGCTCACTCTCACTAGTCACCCCTTCCCTCTCTCACTCTGTCACTAGTCACACCCTCCCTCTCTCTGTCACTAGTCACACCCTTACTCACTGTCACTAGAGTGAGGGGGTGACTAGTGACAGAGTGAGGGGGTGACAGGTGATAGAGTGAGGGAAGGGGTGACTAGCGGCAGAGTGAGGGAAGGGAGGGGTGACTAGTGACGGAGTAAGGGGATGACTGGTGATAGAGTGAGGGAGGGGGTGACACAGTGACGGAGGGAGGTGGTGACTAGTGACAGAGTGAGGGAGGTGGTGACGGTCACTAGTCACCACCTCCCTCACTCTGTCCCTAGTCACCCCTCCCTCTGTCACTAGTCACCCCTTCCCTGCCTAACTGTCACTAGTCACACCCTCACTCTGTCACTAGAGTGATGGGGTGACTAGTGGCAGAGTGAGGGAAGGAAGGCGTGACTAGTGACAGAGTGAGGGAGGTGGTGACTGCCACTAGTCACCAGCTCCCTTACTCTGTCACTAGTCATCACCTCCCTCTGTCACTACTCCCTCCCTCCTTCTATCACTAGTCACCCCCTCCGTCCCTCACTCTGTCACCAGTCATCCCCTCCCTCTGTCACTAGTCACCCCCTCACTCTAGTGACAGAGTGAGGGAGGGTGTGACTAGTGACAGAGAGAGGGAGTGGGTGACTAGTGACAGAGTGAGGGAGGTGGTGATTAGTGACAGAGGGAGGGATGGGGTGACTAGTGACAGTCACCACCTCCTTCACTCTGTCACTAGTCACCCCCTCCCTCACTCTGTCATTGTGTCACCCACTCCCTCCCTCTGTCACTAGTCACCCCCTCCCTCACTCTGTCATTGTGTCACCCCCTCCCTCACTCTGTCATTGTGTCACCCACTCCCTCCCTCACTCTGTCACTAGTCACCCCCTCTCTCACTCTGTCACTAGTCATCACCTTCCTTACTGTCACTAGTCACACACTCCCTCTCTCTGTCACTAGTCACACCCTCCCTCTCTCTGTCACTAGAGTGAGGGGGTGACTAGTGACAGAGGGAGGGGATGACTGGTGACAGAGTAAGGGACGGAGGGGGTAACTAGTGACAGAAGGAGGGAGGGAGTAGTGACAGAAGGAGGGAGCTGGTGACTAGTGACAGTCACCACCTCCCTCACTCTGTTACTAGTCACGCCTTCCTTCCCTCACTCTGCCACAAGTCACCCCTTCCCTCACTCTGTCACTAGTCACCCCCTCACTCTAGTGACAGAGTGAGGGAGGGTGTGACTAGTGACAGAGTGATGGAGGGTGTGACTAGTGACAGAGTTAGGGAGGGAAGGGGTAACGAGTGACAGAGGGAGGGGTGACTAGGGACAGAGTGAGGGAGATGGTGACTAGTGACTAGTGACAGTCACCACCTCCCTCACTCTGTCACTAGTCACCACCTCCTTCTGTCACTAGTCACCCCCTCCGTCCCTTACCCTGTCACTAGTCACCCCCTAACTCACTCTCACTAGTCATTCCCCTCTCTCTCTGTCACCAGTCATCCGCTCACTCTGTCACCAGTCACCCCTTCCTTCCCTCACTCTGCCACTAGTCACCCCTTCCCTCACTCTGTCACCAGTCATCCCTTCACTCTAGTGACAGAGTGAGGGAGGGTGTGACTAGTGAGGGAGGGGGTGACTAGTGACAGAATGAGGGAGGGGGTGACTAGTGACAGAGGGAGATGGTGATTAGTGACAGAGTGAGGGAGGTGGTGACTGTCACTAGTCAACCCATCCTTCCCTCTCTCACTAGTCACCCCCTCCTTCCCTCTGTCACTGTGTCACCCCATCCCTCCCTCTGTCACTGTGTCACCCCATCCCTCCCTCTGTCACTGTGTCACCCCATCCCTCCCTCTGTCACTAGTCACCCTCTCCCTCACTCTGTCACTAGAGTAAGTGGGTGACTAGTGACAGAGTGAGGGAGGGGGTGACTAGTGACAGAGTAAGGGAGGGAAGGGGTGACAGAGTGAGTGAGGGAAGGGGTGACTAGTGACAGAGTGAGGGAGGGGGTTACTAGTGACACAGTGGGGGGTGACTAGTGACAGTTGGGGGGTGACTAGTGACAGTAGGGGGGTGACTAGTGACAGTGACGGGGGTGACTAGTAACACAGTGAGGGGGTGACTAGTGACAAGAGGGGGGGTTACTAGTGACAAGAGGGGGGTGACTAGTGAGGAGGAAGGGTTGACACAGTGACAGAGGGAGGGGGTGACTAGTGACAGTGATGGAGGGAGTGACTAGTGACAGTGGGCGAGAGGGAAGGGGTGACTAGTGACAGTGAGGGAGGGAAGGGGTGACTAGTGACAGGGAGGGAGGGGGTGACTAGTGACAGTGGGGGTGACCAGGTGAGGCAGTGGGGGTGACCCCAGGGTTTGGATAGGGAGTTGATTGGGGACCTGCAGTAGCCTCTGCTCTCCCTGGCTGCTGCTCCTTCCCCTGCTGGCTGATCAGGCTCTCTGTGTGAGAGGAGAGTACAGGAAGTGATGTCACTTCCTGGCACCGCCTCTCCCATCACACAGAGCACCGCGCGACAGGGAGAAGGAGACCTGGCAGAGAGCTGCTGAAGCTGCCAGGTCTCATAGGGGGGTGATTTACAGGGCGGTAGGTTGTGGGGCCCCAAGCTGCATCAGGGGCCCCACAACCTATCAATGAAATAGTTTTATTTTTTTTAATTTTGCCGTTCCAGTTGGAGAGATCTCTGATCTCTCCAGCTGGAGCATGGCTGTGCGGCCGGGCCCCTGACTGCCTCGGGCCCTCGGTCCATGACCGATGTGCCCGAGTGGTCAGTCCGCCCCTGTACACAGCACTCACAGACATACAGCACCCACATACATTCAGCACCCACATACATTCAGCACCCACAGACATACAGCACCCACAGACATACAGCACCCACAGACATACACAGCACCCACAGCACGCAGACATACACAGCACCCACAGACATACACAGCACCCACAGACATACACAGCACCCACACACACACAGCACCCACAGACATACACAGCACCAACACACATACAGCACCCTCACAAACACACACAGCACCCTCACACACACAGCACACTAACAGTACCCTCACAAACACAAACAGGACCCTAACAAACACACACACAGCACACTACCAGTACCCTCACACACAAACAGCACCCTCACACACAGTACATTAACAGCACCCTCACAAGCACACACACACAAACAGCACCCTCACACACAGTACATTAACAGCATCCTCACAAGCACGCACACACAAACACCCTCACCCACATAGCACACTACCAGCATCGTCACACACACATCACACTAACAGCACCCTCACACAGCACACACACACACACACACACACACACACACACAGCAGTATATATATATATATATATACACACACACACATATATACACACACATACATACATATATATGCGGCGTGTTCTTGTGCTTTAGGGTGCACACCCTAATGCAATAGGCTGCGCACGCCTATGGCAAGGAGCCCACATAACAAAATGGGGGAACTAGAGGCAAAAGCATACACTAAACAATGTGACAATAGGCATAACTGAAACATGGTGGGAAGAGGCACATGACTGGGCAGTTAACTTAAATGGATACATATTATTTAGGAAGGATAGGAATAACAAGAAGGGTGGTGGGATATGTTTGTATGTCAACCATGAGTTAAAGCCAAATCTTAAGAAAGTGGAATGTGATGAGGAAAATGTGGAAGCTTTATGGGTAAATATCTGCTTGGGGCAAAAGAAGGGAAATCAACTATTGGTTGGGATATGTTATAAACCACCTGATGTTAATATTGACGAGAAGCAAATTGAGAAAGCTGCAAATCTGGGCAATGTTTTAATTATTGGAGATTTTAATTATCCGGATATAAATTCGGACAGAGGGACTAGTTGTTCAGCAAAAGGAATTAGGTTTTTGAACTTGTTAAATGACACCTTCATGTCACAACTTGTACAAGCACCAACGAAAAAAAATGCTCGTCTGGACCTGGTTTTAACAAACAACGTTGATCTTTTGACCAACTTGTGACGGAACGCTGACACTCCGACTGAGTACCTCCGCCAATCGATGCTCCTAGTGCTCGCTGAGGACTCCAAGCACTCCAACCGACACCATCAGCACTGCAGACCCCACTTCCAGCGATGCAACTGCGCCGGGGTCTCTGCTGTTTCCACCCACCCTGGACCCAAGGCCAGGATCCAGCTTCCAGTGGGTGAACCTCTCTTTCCCCAGAGAGCAGGAACAGGAACAAATCAAGCTATTGCAAGAGCTTCCTCTGGGGAGTAAGTGATTATAGCAATCCCCAGAGTGTAGGTATCCCTTCCCCCAAACATGAGCCAAGGCTTAATGCTGGAACAAGACTAATTTACTGGCAAACAGAACTCACAATTTATGCAACACAAAACTCCTCCTCTGGGCCAGGCTAGATAATTGAGTTTCTACAATACACAAAGCTCAATTATCTGCTGGCCAGATATTATACAGTTTCATAAAACACACAGGGACCCCAAAACATGCAATAACCCCATAAAAAGTATATCCTTGGAACTGGGGATCTGGGTGAACCACATATCCAAAATTCACCCAGATCCGTTCAGTACTTTGGAAAATACAGTTTAATGCAGATTCTGCAGAACATATACAGGCTAAATAAAAAACAATCACTGTATAATGTGTCCCCTGCTGTATAGTCCAAAACCACTGCACGATGTCTCTGTGCACCAAATACTGTCGAGATGGCACCGTGTTGAAAAGTCCACACAGTGTCTGTGAGTTAAAATGGCCGCCATCCATTGTTCTCACCATGTGCTTCTGATACAGGAAATGGTGGCCACCCAGTAACTCCACAGTATGTCCCCAGATGGTTCTTAAAGGGCCAGCAGCAGCACAACACAAATCCATTATGCCCAAATCATGTCTTTAAAGGGCAATACATCCCAGGGGCCATAGTCACAGGGCAAGAGGCGGGCAAGCAGTCCTCTCCAGGCACAAGTGGCGAAGGGCACTTCGTCACAGTGAGCACTTGGGAAATAGCGATCACAATATAGTGTCCTTTGAAATAAACTCAAAAAAACAAAAGCACATGGGGTATACTAAAACATATAATTTTAAAAAGGCCAATTTCTATAAGTTAAGGGCAGCTTTACAAAATATTGACTGGCATAACCTCTTTAGTGAAAAGAACACTGAGGATAATAATGGAACATCTTCCAACAAATATTAGAAAGGTACATTTCTCAGTATGTACCATTGGGTAATAAATATAAAATAAACTAATTGAAACCAATGTGGCTTAGTAGAGAAGTAAAACAAAAGACTGAAAATAAGAAAAGGGTATTTAAATTGGACAAATCAGATGAATCCTATAAAAGATATAAGGAAGCCAATAATGCGTGCAAAAAGGCAACTAGATTTGCAAAACTTCAAAATGAAAAAATGATAGACAAAGAGAGCAAAACCAATCCCAAACATAAATTCTAAAAAAACAAAAAATTAAACTGTAGGTACACTAAAAACTGAAATGGAGGTGTTAGTTAATGAAGACCAGGTAAAGGCAGGAATTTTATATAACTATTTCTCCTCCTTATATATTAAGGAAGAACCCATGGCAACAGATGTGCAAATGACTGCTGCTAAAAACTTGCAGAATAATTGTAATTAGTTAATTCAAGAGAAGGTGCTGCAGCAACTGAAGAAAGTTAATATAAACAAAGCTCCATGGCCTGACGTATACATCCACGAGTACGTAAGGAACTAAGTGTAGAAATAAGTGAACATTTTTTTTAAATCTTTCAAGATTCCTTTCTTTCAGGAAGTGTTCCGGAGGATTGGAGGAAGGTTGATGTGGTTCCTATATTCAAAAAGGGTTCAAAATCCTTGCCTGGAAATTATAGACCTGTGAGCTTAACTTCTGTGGCTGGGAAAATATTTGAAAGGTTATTAAGGGATAATATTCAAGAATTCCTTGAGAAGAACATGGTTATCAGCAAAAATCAGCATGGTTTTATGAAGGACGGGTCATGTCAAAGCAACTTGATTGTGTTCTACAAAGAAGTATGTATAAGAATAGATCAGGGTGTTGCAGTGGATGTGATATATTTGGATTTTGCCAAGGCATTTAATACAGTTCCACACAATAAATTAGTGTTCAAACTCAAGGAAATCGGTCTAGATGAAAATGCTTGTTCTTGGGTAGAACACTGGCTTAAAAATAGAGTACAAAGAGTTGTCATATGGAACATTTTCAAGCTGGACAGAGGTGGCAAGTGGTGTCCCTCAGGGTTCTGTTCTGGGACCCCTTCTATTTAACATGTTTATAAATGATTTTGAAAAAAGCATTGAAAGTCATTCAGTGTTTGTAGATGACACAAAACTCTAAAGTAATTCAATGTGAGCAAGATATTACCTTGCTGCAGAGGAATTTAAATAGACTGGGGGACTGGGCACTCAAATGGCAGATGAAATTTAATGTTGAAAAATGCATAAAGAATGCACAAAAAATGTATACCCTTAATGGAAGCAAATTAGACAACAAACTATGCAACAATGTGCAATGTCAATCAGCAGTGGCTAAGGCCAGTAAGGTATTGTCATACATGAAAAGGGCATTAATTCTCGGGATGAGAAGATCATTTTGCCTCTTTATAAATCACTGGTAAGACCACATATTGAATACGCTGTGCAATTTTGGGCACCTGTTCTAAAGAAGGATATTATTGCCCTAGAAAAAGTGCAGAGGTGGGCTACAAAATTAATAAAAGGAATGGAACATATCAGCTATGAAGAAAGGTTAAAAAAAATGTAAACCTCTTTAGTTTAGAAAAACGTCACCTGAGAAGGGATATGTTAAAATTATACAAATATAT